GGGTCTCTCCTCCACATCTGGGTGTTTCTGGCTGCTTTGGGACCGATCAAGGCCCACGGCCGTGGAGCCCACACAGCCCCTTTCCCTTCTGTGTCCCCCCGGGGCATCCCTGTGAGAGTCAGGGGGTCCCTACAGACTTTGGGACGTGATGGGATGGGGGTTCATCCCTAATTCAGCTGCAGCCGCCCGGCCTGGGTGGGGGTGGCAGGGACAGGATCCTTGTGCTGGGTGTTGGCCTGAGCTCCCGGGACACAACCCCTCCTCTTTCCTGGTGCTGCAGGTGCTGATCCCCGGCTGCTTCCTGGCTGCTCCCTGACTTCCCGCTCTCCGCACGGCTCCCGCTCCGCGGGGATCCGCAGCCATGTCCACCTTCCGGCAGGAGAACGTGGAGGACTTCTATGAGATGGGGGAAGAGCTGGGCAGGTGAGGGAACATCCCCCTTTACAGTCTGGAAGGGGCTGCACGTCCAGCCGAGGGAGCTTCACCGGCTGCTGGACCCCTCGTGGTGCCCCTGTGCCACCCCTGGCAGCAGCAGGGCCGGGGCTGGGCCGGGAGAGATTAAAAGAATGTGTTAATTAATGTTAAAGTTGCTCTTTTTGGAGCTCCAGCCGGGCCAGCAGCTTCTAGGCCTCAGTTGGCTGCTCCTGGCTCTGTGCCTGGGGAGGGATCCAGGGTGACTCACTGCCTGCAGATGGGATTTAATCATCCGGGATGCAGAGGCGGAGCTGAGGGAGCTGCCCAGGGATCCTCCAGCCCTGCCTTTGGCCGTGGCTCCTCCTCCTCGGCCACTGGGAAATCCTTGGGCAGCAAAAAAACGTTTTTGGGGTCACTTAGGTGGTTTTTTTCTCAAAGCAGCTTCCAGGGGTTCCTTCAGGTTCTTTACTCTCTCAGGGCTGGGCTGTGGATCCCACCTGGGCAAAACTGGTCCCTGCCCTGGGGGGGGCTGTGGGTGGTCCCAGATGTGATCTGGGAATGTATAAAAGTATAAAGGAATCTTGGGTCCAGGTGCAGTTACTCTGATTTCAGGCATTTCCCCCTCCACCTGCACTTCCCTCCGGAGCTTTATGGTCCCCCAGGACCACCAGGCTCTGGGATTGGCTCTTGGCACCAACCTGGGGTTTCCTGGCTGGAAAAGAGAGGTTGTTGGGCATCTCCCAGCCTGGGTGGTCACAGTAGCACCTGAACAGCCCAGGGATGGTCTGCAGCTGCCACATTCCTGGGAGGGATTCCTTTCCTCCATCCCAGGAAGCGCTGGGCTTGCTCCAGCAGTGCTGGGCTGTGTAAAGCCTGGGAGCAGACGGGCACCATCCGATCCCGATCCCTGGCAGTCCTGGGAGGAAACAGCGTGCCCTTGTGCTGTTTCCAAGGATGTGATGGGGGAGATTCTCACTCCACCTCCTCCCCTCCTTCCCGCAGCGGCCAGTTCGCCATCGTCCGGAAGTGCCGGGAGAGGAAGACGGGCCTGGAATACGCGGCCAAGTTCATCAAGAAGCGCCGGCTCTCGTCCAGCCGCCGGGGCGTGAGCCGGGAGGAGATCGAGAGGGAGGTGGACATCCTGCGGGAGATCCAGCACCCCAACATCATCACCCTGCACGACA